GTCTAATTCAATTAAAATAAATTGAATCAGATTCAAATGTTAATTGATTATTAAAATAATATACAAAATTTGTTGTAAATGTTCACAAGAAGTTTGGGATTGATYTGAAAATATATTTTACGGCGGGTTTATCTGTGAATTTGCTCAGAGCCACCAAGTCGCAGCGGGAGACTAAAAAAACGACACTTTTCTTACACGTTTTCACACCAAACATCACAACGTTCACAAACGCTGCAGGAGCATATGCTCATCAGCTCCATTAACAGCTCGTTGTTTCTGTGGGATTTATTTAAGACTATTCCCTTTGACCCGCCCCATTTTACTGTACAGTAAATATTTCTAAACTCCACAATCAGCCTGGGAGAAAAGAAAAAATAGTAAGAACMACAGCTAATTATATTTTTATGTCCAATATAATGATTTAAACAACTAAAACCCTGAGTAATACATTGAAACTGAAACTAGTTGGAACAAAGAAGGAAATAATTCTTGTCTGTTGATTTGCTGCAGTCATAAACTCGGTCACATGTTCTGATCATTGTTTTGCTGAGCTGCATTTATTATTTATTGTGGAAACTGTTGCCCTGTTCAGTCCTCCCTGTCAAAAATAAAACGCCTAGCGCCGCTTTTAATCACCCAGGTTGAAAACTATGATGATTAAATTTCAAGCTTCTCTTTAGTTGTTCTTTTCCGTTTGCTCTCGTTTTAATCAGGATTAGATTTCAAAACAAACATTAAATTTTACACTTTTCTCAGAMGTTTATTTGTTTTTCTTTGACATGAGGTGGAAAAAAAAAGGCCAACTGTCTGTGTGAGTTCAGATCTCAGGGCTTGCCGTGTTTTATTCTTCCTTTTAATAAAAACACATTTACCAACTGAAGAGTCTCACACAGAGGCTCTCAAACTGCCATTGTGAATAAATCGGGTCACTATGGATCCACTTTGCCGCTTTGCACAGCAGCTGGCTGCTCACACTCTCCTTCCAGCTGCGTGCAGCCGGCTCCCAGCGTCCAGTCAATAACTATTAACCCTTTACTCTGAAATTCCCACTGCAGAAGAATTCACAATGTTAAATGTCACTGCTGCTTTCATAAGTTGTTCTCGCAGCTAAAAAACCTTAAATAAACATTAAAATTAAAAAGAAATGGGCTTCGGTTTATTCTCCCACCACTCTCCGCCTTTCCTTACCTTCGCTTTCCTTCCCGGGAGGCTGGTAAAAAGAGAGGCCGAGTGAAATGATGGCGGCGACCTCCAGGATGATGAGGGTGACGTCCTGCAGGGCCTCCCACACCAGTTCCAGGAAGGTTTTGGGCTTCTTCGGGGGGATAAAGTTGCAGCCAAACGTTTGGCGTCGACGCTCCAAATCTGTCGGGTCGCCGCTGAGACCTGAAAGATCGGACAGGAAAAGGTTTTTTAACAGTTAGAGAGGTTTACATCAATCACAGATTATCTGAACGGGTCCAGGTTTAAATTATGAAGGAAATTAAAATTAACTTTCTCTTTAAACAAACAAAAAAGCATCCTTTCAGATCCTTAAAATTGCAATATAAGTATTTTTTTCTTTTTGAAGCACAAACAGTAACTTGCCTAACCTAWAAAACAGTGGCAGGTACAGTTCTGCTAATCCGCTAACTGCTGAACTAGCTTCTCATTTAGCAACTTTTTTGCCAACTTTGGAAACCATTAGCGAACCCATTACTTCTCGCTATATTAGATTTCACTAATTTTAAGCTCACTAAAGTGTAAAACTTCCATTTTAAGCCATATTTCCCAAAATAAATAAAAACTATCCCCTCTTACAAGCAGTGCAAGACGTGCCAGACATAGCATGTAGCATCTTTAGCAGCTAAAGCTACGTGTCAAAAGAAATAAAATAACAATTTACAATATTTAATTACAAAGACAAAAACTGACTACATATAACATATGKTAGAAAAAATATTTGCTATTTGTTGCTTAGCTAACTTCGAACGTTACAATGGTGGGCACAGCTAACCAAAATTTTAGCTTCACTAACCGGTATTTCTCTTACAGGAATATTAGCTCGGCTAACGCTAAACGCCTAACACAACTGTTACACTTCACACAAACCTGCTGGTAATTTTCTATTGGTTCAACTTGAAAGTGGGCGGGGTCATCTGTGGCAAATCAGCCAATCCAAAGCAGATTTATACCTTTGTCTAACTTGTGATAGTTCCAGAATAAAAGTATTTCTTTGATCGAGTTTGTATTTTTATAAATACGCTTTRAAGTTAGTAAAATGACAAATTTTCGTAGCCAATTTTAATATTTTTTTATTTAAATATTGTTAAATGTTATTTTTATTTCTTTTTGACCATCTTAGTTTGAAGTTTAGCTGCTAAAGATGCAATTTAATTCAGGATAAACGGCAAAAAAATAGAAGTTTAACAATTGTGAATTTTTTTGTGGACTTCCCAACCAATTCTAGTGTAACCTAATTCAGAGGAAGTTAGCTAATCTGAACAGTTTCCAAATTTAGCAAAATAGCTAACCAGCTAAATGAGAAGCTAGTTCTGATATTAGCAGAACTGTGCTTAACACTAGTAAAAATACAAACTCGAACTGGAAATGCTTTTATTCTGAAAGGGTTAAACTGGAAGTGTCACAAGTTAGACAGAGCTACAACTCTGGTTCGGATTGGCTGATTCCCCAGAGATGATCCCGCCCACCTTCAAATTAAGCCAATAGAAAACTAAAATTAGGTTTGTGTTGGTCCCTCCAGTGGCCTTAGTCGTTAGCATTAGCTTTCATTAATTTTTTTGTCTGTTTAGCGGATTAGCGTTAGCGGAGCTAAGATATTTGTTTAGCAGTTTAGTGGTTTTGCTTAATTGTGCCCACCGCTTTTTAAAAATAATAAAAAGTAGAGATCTGAAGCGATTTTTGATAAAATTTTGTGTTCTCTTCTCTTGCTCCACCCATGCTCACCTGCTCCTCTAATCATCTCTGGTCTAATAGATCAACTGTAGTTTACTGCAACAATAATTTTGTTTATTTTGTTTTGCAAAATAAAGTTTTACTTCTCCTCGAGTCTGCATACTGATCCAACGCTCCAACATCTATTTTATTCCCACATGTTTGTGAATTTTAATATAAACTTTATTTTTGCTGTTTTCTCTTGACATCGAGCTGAACTCTGGCCGTGTTTCGCCCACGTCGGACGTTAAATTTTTATTTTTTTTTCTGAAAGTTTTTCTCAAAGTTTCTGTTCTCTCGTCAGAATGCCTCTGCAGCATCCTGAAACCTCTCCCCCTCCAGCCTCTCCAGTTTCCATGGTGACCAGGATACCAGGTCCAGGGCTTCCGGCGTCTAACAGGTTTCTGCCCGGCAACAGGTGATGTCATTCCTCCAGAGTGGAGCCTTTCTTAAATTTTAATATATATGTTTTTTGATTGGCTGCCAGTGACGGGTGGAGGGGGTGGGGGGGGTCTGCTCACTGCGGTTGGCTGAAAGCGCGTCTGTCTTCACCTGCTGGTCCAAACCTGCTGCAGGGAGTCATGCAGAGGATCAACAGGGTTCAGGCCCAGGCGAGGCAGACAGAAAACAGGTGACCTTAATGCTGAGTAATCACTGAGAGCTGTTTCCTCTTTTCATTAGCCTCCCCCTCCTTTTCTTCCCTTCCTCCTCTTCCTCTTCCACAGCTCTCTCTCTCTCTCAATCTCTCCTTGATGTGTCCTTGACAATGCGGCAAGCTGTTTGAACGCTCCCTCCTCACCCCTCAGC